TTAAGAATTTACACAACTGAATTCAGGAATTAAAAGACAGTCAAGGAAGCCATTTATTTTATGCCTATCATTTGTACTTTGACAGTCCTATTGCTTACAAACACTTAGACACCATAAATTAAAGCACAGATTCCCAGGCCTTGCCTTTGCTGGTATGCAGTGATAGTATCTCTAAAGAACAGACATAAATGGAAAAGACAAGATTAACTATAGCAGCACAGTAGAAGCTTAGAAGTAGAAATTCCTAACCATTAATAACTAGACTGAAGTAAATTTCAAAGGAACTGAGGTGCAGCTTGGTTGACATTTGGAGATATTACTGCTGTGAAAGTAGTTAGTGGGACTCAGAACAGTGTGACACAAAAGAAAGTCAGGGTTAGGCCTAAGACTTTGCATTTATTAATCCTCTGTCTCTTGAATAATTCACTATCCCAAACAAGGAAAGTTAGAGATTAAATAAGAATTTAAATGTATAAAGTAAGTAGTTGTACATAAATCTATGTACACAGAAACATACTTAGCAGAATATGAGTTATCTCTAAAGTTCTACCAAATTCCAATGAGTTTTTCAATTAATTGTTTATTTCCTACATTTTGAGCTTATAACCCAGTAAAACATTTTAAAAACAGAAACACATAAACTTGAGCATACTAAATCAACCTGCCAGCAAGCATCAGTCTGTCTATATCTGCCAAATGACAAGTTAATAACTTAAGAACTGGAACAAGCTGTTCTTGGCTTATTATCTCAAAGAGTTCAGTCACTTTATATTTGCAACCTGCTGAAGACAGGCAGTTTTTTTTTTTAATTTTTCTTTCCCAGTTTCTAGAACAGTGCTGGGTGCATAGTACCTATTTTTAACAAATGAATGATGGAATAGCTGAGTGAATGGCAAGTGGATGGAGGCTGAATTACTTCTGTTGACATTTTCTGGAGATTTCCTAACCTGGGTGACTGCTTCCTGGTTTGAGAAACAGCAGGCTTCATTTTTAGGATATAAGATATTGAGTGGGTGTTCTGAAAAGTGATTGAACATGTTCCTCCCACTGATTTTACAAAGAGCTTTAAGAAGCTGGATAATCATTACATGTCCCTTTCCAAACTATGTTATAGCTAATGTCTTATCTCTCAGACCTCAGACTGTGAGAACACACAGGCAGAGATTATTCTTCTTTAACACCTTCTACAGGCTTGACCCCAGTGTCATGGCAGTAGAAACTAAATGTTACTGAATCAATGAGAAAATTGCTGCCTGGTAGTTTTGGTTTAGAGAAATTCTCTTTGTAATTTCTCATTCTATAGTTTGCCTTCCTCTTCCACCGCAGTCTCCTGCATTGTTCTATGGCAGCAACATGGAGATCCTCCCTGCATAGGGCCGTTAGGTGGATGAAAGTGATGTGGTCCCATGGCTGTTGCTCCTTTCGCAAACAATGTTTGCTCTATCACTAAGACCTAATTATACTGTTATCCCCCCACCATTCCTCTGAGAACTAAGCTGAGGGCGATTTTTCCAGGCTTCCAATCTCTTAAATTGCCTGTGTGTCAAAATATCTCCCCATGGCCATTATTGGTAACATCTTGAAATAGCTGAATTATACCAGAGAGGAAACATACTTGTAAGAAAAAGCCCTTGCCTTTGGATGTGGAGCAAAATAGCTCTTAATACTGAAGAAACAGAATATTTCCTGCTTTTTGAACCAGTGAAAATCTAATAAAAATGTGTCTCCCCTGGGTATTTTAGATCATTAGCATCTTGGCTTCACACTTCGCTATAACAAATAACTTATTTTAAAAATTTCTCCAGGGAGAAGAGAAGATGCCAAAAATATCTTGGAACAAAAGTACCTAGCAACCCGATAGGGCTCTTTTATACAGTTTCTAAATTTTCACTTCATGCAGCAAAGTATCGAGATTTTTTAAAAATTTCTGATCTTGGTATGTACTGAAACTTCTTCGTGGCTAAGCAAGGGGGAAAAAAAAAACCCTAATGCTTTATATATCAGTAGCACTCTATAGTTTTCATGGTACATTCATAATGAATGAATGTGACTACTATAATTTATTACCCTATTCTATGTCAGGATATTGTGCTATTTTACATATAAAGACCAAATTTAAGCTTTACCGTGCCCTTGTGTAGTAACAGGTGTTACAAGTCCAGTTTTACTAACGATCCCATTTTATTAATGGAGAAATAGAGGAGTTAAGTAATTTACTCAAAGTCATATAGTCAATAAATGGCCTAACTTAAATCTGATCTTTAAATCTATGGACTTACTTCACCTGATGAGAATCTTAAAAAGTAATGGAACAAGGAACTCCTTTCCTTGCTGGGCATGGTGGTGTAATCCCAGCACTTGGGAGGTTGAGAAGGAGGATCGCCATGATTTCAGTCCAGCCTGGGCTACAAAATGAGTTCAAGGCCAGCTTGAATTGTGACCAAAAAAAAAAAACAAAAAAAAAACAACTTTCCCTTCATATATGTACAAATCTCTGTATGTTTGTATTCTTTTCGCCTTCTTTTCTCAAAAAGGCCAATCTCACCACAGATGTTTCATTCCTTCTGTTACTCTGAATTCTTCCTCCTGCCCTGCTGTCTACTCCAGGGGGTGCTGTTCATAAAGTGTTCTTTGTGGGCGGCATCTCCTGAAACCAGACCTCAGAACACGTGTGAGTTGCGTGACCCCAACTTTCGATTTCCTTCCTTCCACCTTATTAAGAACTGTCTCCTTCAATTCTCCCATGCCCCCTTCATCATCAGTCTCTCTACTGGAGTATTCCCATCATCATACAAACTTTTCTACCATCCTCTGCCTTGAAGGCAAACAAACAAAAAACCCAAGAAACAACAAGTCATCCTTGGTTCTACATTTCTCTCTTACCTGATTTATTCAGCAGCAGTCAATACTTATCATCTTTAATCTCTTCTTGCATTCTGTGTCACCATATTTTCCTTGTTTATCTCCTGTCGCTAGCCATTCCTCTCCTCTCCCTTTGCTGGATACTTTCCCCTCTATCCATTCTCTAAATATAAAACCTCTTCAGGGCTTCATATTAAGCATCTTTTTTTTTTTTTTCCTTTTTCTATATTCTTTTCTTAAACCACCTCACCTGGTCTTGTAACTGAAAATACCATCTCAACCCTCAAATTTATATCTTCACTCCAGGTCTTGCTTGAGTCTTATTGCTGTACCCAATTTTCTCTTCGACAACTGTCCTTGAATATTTTACAAGCCTGTCAAACTTAACTAATCTGTCAAACTGAACTCATTTTCTTGCTCTTCCTCCCTGTCTTCCCCATCTCAGAGATCATCCTTATATAGGTGTTTAGGCCAGACATTTGAAAATTATTCTTGGTTCTTACCTTTCCTTTATCCCCAAATTCAACCCAAAAAAGAAATCAAATCTTACTTCCAAAAATATACATCAGATTTGTTCACCTTATCTGTTGACCATCCTAGTCGACACCTCCAAATCATCTCACTGGGTGCTTTGTTTCTGTTTCTACCCTTTTTGGCCCCTATCTGTTTATTCTTCATACAGCATCCAGACTTTAGCAAAATGTAAATTGTGTTACATTTCTCTCTCACAACATTTTAGTGATGTCTCTCCTATTTAAATAAAGTTCAGTCCTCCTATAGAAGGCCTAACATTGCCTGGCCCATGCCTATCACCCCAACTTCACTATAAACACTGTGTTCCAGGTGGTAGGCCCTTGTTCAGTTCATTAGACAGGTCAGACTTTCCTACCCACCAGCTTCTGAAAATGCTATTCCCACAGCTTAGAAGCCTTCCCCAACTCATGCTGGCTCCCTCCTTCAGCTCTCCACCACAGTGGTTGTTGTCAGGGTTACCACTGTAACAGTGACACTGACACATGAAGCTCCTCTTCTTCCTATTCATGCAGCAAATTTCCAGTGTCCCTAGTGCACTGTATTTATATCTTCATATCCCTGTAGCCTAATGTAGTGATTTACTTCTGAAGTTGTAACCCAGCCCCTCACTAGTGTAATAGAAACTAAGAACGTCAAGAGACAGGGGTTCAAGACTTGGAACTGGCAATAACACGTTGATAAAATTCTTCTGACCACAGGCTTGGGGTATAGATTGGTGGAGTACTTGTCTTGCATGTGTGTTCCATCCTCAGTACCACACACACAAAAGATCTTCTGACCTTCTGACCAGTTTCCTCTATTGTTCTATATATATCACATAATCTCTGATGTCTCTAACTCTTGTGTTTTTTTTTTTTTTTTAACTGAAGCTTCATTTTCTCCAGCTTCCCTCTGTGGGTTGCAAAACTCATTAAATGAAGTTTTTAAATTATGAAACGTTTCAAGCCTAAACAAAACTAGAAGATAGTATAATAAACATCCCACTCAAAAGATTACCAACTCAAACGATTATCTGTTGAGAGCTTTTACTTCATTCCTTTCCCCATTCACTTTCCTCCTTCCATTCTTCGAAGCAAATACCAGACATGGTATCATTTCATCCGTAATATTTCAGTATTATCAAGTAGAATTCTTAACTGCTAGCTGGCATCCTTCCTGTTTTTCACTTGAAAAGTGAAGTGTTCATTGAAGAGCCTCCTGCTCTCTCACAAACCAGATAACTAGTATGAGGATTTTATTTCACTATCTAACCGAACTGTCAGAGGATGGGGTAGGTGGGTTTACATATAGCACCTGGCTCAGTGTCTGGTGATCAATAAAGGCTGAATGAAAACAAATCAGCTGTGTTTTCCTTTTTTAAACACAACTTTACCCACATGAATCTAGGGCCTTGTCTTACCCTGTTTCTGTTACTTTCCTGCAATCGCTACAGGAAAGTTTCAAATATTACTGAGCCAGCTAGAGGGGACTTGGAGGGAATACTAAATTCTTCCTGCCCTGGAAATAAAAGCGTTCTCCCGGATCAATGCAAGATTCCCAAGCCTGGGGCGGGGCCTCGGGGCGGGGCCTGGGGCGGGGCTGCGTTCAGTCTCCGCCCACGGTCGCTCTCAGTCCCTTTTAACCAGGCTCTTTTTCCCGGCAACCCTAGCGGCCGGCCCGGCGCTCGTCAAGATGGCGGCTGACAGTGAGGTGAGTTTTCTGCTTCCTACTTATCCCTGTCACTAAGTTCGCTCTTCCAAGTCATCGCTCAATCCCTTCATTTTCTTCCCCTTCTCACAGCCGGAGTCCGAGGTATTTGAGATTACAGACTTCACCACTGCTTCGGAGTGGGAAAGGTGAGTCGTGGTTTTGGTGACCGCAGCCCTGGGCCCTGGCGTCCGCCGCAGCTTGCCCAGCCCAGACACAGGCGCACTTGTGCGGGAGGAGTAGAACCGGTAGGGCCGCGGCTGTGCCTGCGCTCTCCCTGCTGTGCGTAGCCACGGGGCCCTTCCGGGTCTCGCGTCTGACTGGGCCAGCCCGCCGGGTCAGGGCCCTGCGAGACTCCGGCGTTCCGAAAAAGTTTTGTTTACTGTCAGGTCGCTCTCCACCCACCTTTGCTCAGCTGCAAAAACGATTTCCGAGGCCATCACTACCGCTTTGATTTTCATTTCCGTTTAGCTCCTTTTCTTGTTAGGATGTTGTGTTTCATGCGGATAATTTGAGATGACTAAGTAGAGGGCCAGACACAGTTGTTCTTTGGAGAAGTATTTACAGAATGTCCATGTGTCAAATGCAGTGTGGGAGATGAAGAATTAGGGATATGGCGTTAGGTAACCGGATATGGTTCCTACTCATTGTGTTCAGTTTAGTGGAAGAGACAGGCGTGAATCAAATAATACAAATGCGTCTGTAATTAGAAATGGACGTGAGAGCTGGGAAGGGAAAGAAACTTCATCAAAGAGCATATAACAAAGGCGTTAAATATAGACTAAGGAGTCAGAAGTAGCCCTTCAGGTAAGATCTGGACAGCTTTTAAGGAAAAAGTTACTGAATTTTTCTAGTTAATTCTCAATACTAGTATGATGGTACAGTCAATTTTTTGCTACTACTGATAAAATTCATACAGTGTTTTAAGATATTCCTTTATTTTGAAAACTGTACTTTAAATTATTTTTATTGTAGCTGTATTACCTCATAGTAAAATTTAAAATGTCTATAAATATACTGCCAGTGTACAACTACCAGTTTTTTGACATTTCTAATTTACGTGTTGTGTGTCATAGACGGTTTGGGTTAAACCATATTAACACCTATTGCTGTAGCTTTTTTCGTTTAGCATGAACATTTCCTTGTTTCCTCAGATGTTCTTCAAAATACAATTTTTAATAAGTGCGTATTAGTCCACTGAGTAAATGTACCATTTGTTTGCTGCAAGGGAACCTTAAAGTAGCTTACAATTTTTTTGCTTTTAGTACCTTGTATACCTAGTGCTTTTTTGTTTGTTTTGATTCTTGGAATGGAACCCAGAGCCTGTTACATACTGTGTAAGCTTACTATCACTAAGCCATAATCCTAGCCTCCTGTGTTTTATGCAAAAGTTTGCTCACTAATAGGTATATTTTAAGTATTTGTTCTTTTGTAAATATGTAAACTTATTTCTAAGGTACTCATTTTCAAAACTAATAATTATTTGACTGAACACCCCAAAATATGACTTAATGCTACTTTTAATTTTAAAGAAGGATTAATGAAAAGGTTCCATGAAATCATAAATTCTAATTTGTTATTACTATGTTGAAATAAATGTAAATATTAATTTTGTAATGCTATTGAAGAAAAAATCTGGTTCCTTTGAACAGTGTGACTAGAAATACTCTAGCAGTACTTCCTAGATGTTTTAGGAAGCAATGTTGCATTAGATTACTTCATATTTAACTTATGTAAGAAGTTTAGACTGCTACTTTCATTTACTAATGTTGAACATGTTACTAGTAAGAATCCAGTTCTTTTTGATGATTAAAGTTACAGAGTGAATAGTTTTGAAATCTCTTCATTATTCCTTAAAATTGACGTATTTACTTGAAATTTATTGTCAGCTATCCCTTAAAACTTGTTTTATTTAATGAGCAAAGTTCTCAAATAATATTTTCTTTTGGGAGAGAATGGCAAATGGAGAATTCTTAAATATATTTAAAAGAAAAATTCATTTAAATAGGTCAGTTATGTTAAGGATGGGGTATAATTATCAATTTCATAATTGTCTTTAGGAATATCATTTTAATCTGTAAGGTTTTACTTCTGTCCCAAATTTATTATATAATTTTAATACGGATATTTGTTATTTACATATTTTTAAAAAATTTATATTTTATAGAAGGCAAGCTTTTGTTGTGTAATCAGTAGACTTAATCAAAATTTTAAGAATTTGTTAGCTAAATTTTTGCTTTTACTTCATATCTATACTTAGGGCTAGCGATATCAAACTTACTGAGCCTTCTGTAATCACAATGTTAAAATATAGGGGGTATGGTGGTGCACTCAGGTAGTCTCAGCACTTGGGAGGCTGAGGGAGGGGAGTTGCAGTGAGTTCCAGGCCTAGATAGTGAGTTCAAGGCAAGCCTGAACTACATAAGAGAGACCCTGTCTCAAAAATGTAAGAATATGAAATACACCTTTTAAAAGAAATTGTATTAATAGGAAGAAAATGTGAAGTTACATATTTGGAAAGTTTTTTCTTCTTTTTCTAGGTTTATTTCCAAAGTTGAAGAAGTCTTGAATGACTGGAAACTGATTGGAAACTCTTTGGGAAGGCCACTTGAAAAGGTCAGATTTATTTGCTTGTGGATCTAAATTGTTATTTACTTTGAAACCTCCATTATTTTAAGCCCTTTACTGTACTTGGCACATTTGAATTAAATGTTTAATTTTAAAAATTATGTATCATCAGTAATCATCAAATACCATGCACGAAGAGTTTGGATTTGAATTTGTGGCAGATGACATCCATAAGACATTTGTGGGCCAACGCGGTCTGAGGAGTGTCAGCTATTCAGTAGAGAGGTAGAGGTTGATCAACTGGAACTGATGGCTTAACCTAGCTAAGTAGCTGAACCAGACCATTTAAAAGAAATACAGACTGGAATATGAAATCAAGACTAATCATCTGTTTAAAGGAATTGCCAACGATAAAGTCTCAATACTAAACTTTGTATGCATGTTTTAAACCCATTGCTATTGAGGCAAAAGAGACTAAGAACTGTGTTTATACTGCTGTGAATAAGACTGTGACTATGATACAAGAACTACAAAAGCAAACAGATGTGGAGCTGTCACCACTGAGTCAAGAAGAAAAAACTATGACAGAGCAGTTAAAATCTCACATGCCACGCTTATAAAAGAATGGGATTGCAAAAGGAAACTACAGTGAGGAAGAGAGTAATCCTAAAGAAAGGGAACTCTAATGAAGAAGGGATTAATTTCAGAGAAATGTAGGAAAATGTCTTATTAACAATTCATGAATAGAGGTGAGGAGAGTGGTAAAGGAAAAAGAGGAGGTTCGGCTTGAGTGACACGATAGTGATGCTTTCATCAGAGCAGGATTAAGAAGAGCAGATATTATATGAACAAAATTCAACCAAAGGATGAAATGGACATAAAAGGATATATACCTTTATAATTTTAAGTAAGGAATTCCCTTAATACTAATTTCATCTGTTTTCTTTTGTATTGTTGGGAGAACAGATGTTCTGACATAAAAGAATGTACTTTAAAAAAAGATATTTGTAAAATGTTTTTTAAAAAATAAGCATATAGGGCTGGGGAATCTAGCTCAGTGGCATAAGCACATGTCTGGCAAGCACGAGGTCGTGAATTTGATTCCCAGTATAAAAAAATAAATAAATAAATAAATAAAATAAGGATATAAATATATGTGTGTGTACATATATATATATATATGTCATTATGAGTGATTCATTGTTTCCTCTGATGTTCATTTTTCTCTTGCCTTATACTTTGGAATGTTAAAAAAGTCTTTTTAAGAAATTTAGTTCGTCAGAAAAATTGCAACTTCTGGGATATTGTGTGATGAGAAGGAATCTTGGTTTTACCACTCACATGCTTTAATTAACAGGTATTTTTCCCAAATTTTTATATTTTATGATTCTACTACCGATAACCCCTCTTGCCCCTTTTTAACTTATGTAAGTTTTGAGGATTTTATGTAGAATGAAAAACTTATTCTTGCAAATTGAGTTGGAACTCTAATTCTTTTTTTTTTTAAGTTCATTGGTATAATTTAGATATACATAATCATATTCATCATAGGGAATTTGTACCTGTATATGATATATCTCCGTTCCTCTTTTTCTCCCCCAATCTGCTCCCCTTCCTTCAACACCTCTTCCCCTCCTTATTTACAAAGCTTTGTTACCATTTATCCTTCTTTTATTTTTTTTTTCCCTTCCTTTCCCCCTACCTCCTCCCTAGTTCGTCTTTCCTTTTGAACAATTTTTTTCCTAGTTCACGATATCTATTGTACATTTTGGTCCTTATTTACTCTTTCATTTTCTAACACCAGGGAATCAATGTGATATTTGCACATGTGTGTCCGATTTATTTCACTTAAGAGTATGGTCTCAAGGAATATCCATTTACCTAGAACTGTCTCAAGTTTATCTTTCATTATGGCGGAGTAGTACTCCATTGTATGTAGAAAATCTTTTTTGTATCCATTCCTTGATTGATGGGCATTTGAGTTATTTCCAAGATTTAGCTATTACAAACTATGCCACTATAAAGAGGGGAGGGCATATATTGCTGTGGTATGTTTTTTTGGTTTTTCTCCGGTAC